GGCAAAAATTCTGTGGGCACTTATAGGTGTGAACGATTAAAGTATTACTGTTTACATACACATGTTCATCTCCCCCATCAGTCACAGAGCTTTCACTTAACCGATCTAGAAGCTTTTCAACCGTTAAAAAATGCTGTTTTTGCACGTATGTTTGGGCAAGGCAGGTATTTGTATTTTTGCACACACTGTCCACAATAATTTTTTCCAGGATTGTAGGTAGATATTCTAATTTAGGGCTGCTTATATGAGCGGCTACTGTAGATCTCAAAACCAGGCTGATCTCTGTCAGCCAAACATCTTTCCTTGCAATGGACGGAATTAATACAAGTTTATTTACCCAATCTATTCATGCAGAATCTTATTTGTATATAATATTATTACATATTCTTGTGTGTATATATTCTAGCACAGTCTAAATCTTCAAGATGCAATAAAGCATGGAATAAATAAGTCAGCAGCAGGTTATGCAGATATAATAATCATTTATACCATGCAAATGTCATGGTTTTGTTGGTCTTCTTGACATTTCATGGGGTGATAAATCAATATTTGAATAACAGTTTCTATAAATTATTTTACACCTTTAATAATTCCCATAAACAGCAAATTTGATATGGAACAACTTTACTGTGAGTTTTCAAGCAGACTGGCCTTAATTAATCCTTTCCTTATATGTGTCTCAGAGCTATAAACCTGAATAAATCGTCATGGTTGATGGTTGTTCACTTAATCACTTGTTTGTTCTTCTATAGGCCATTAGCCTTAAACAAACTCAAAAAATATACACAGAGAACACCTACCTTATTGCTTTTTTCTGGAAAATAAATAATTTAAACTTTTATATCTCATTCTTTAGCGATTTTACTGGCAAATAAACTGAAAATCACTCTGACTAGCCATTTTTAATACCACGTGACTGTTTGTTTTGCAGCAAATTTAATAACATTGCTCTAAATCTTAACTCGGTCATGAGCATCGGAGACTGGGGAGCAAAGACGGCATACTCTGGGTGATGTTATTTAATTTCAAAATGGCGCGTGTTTATTTTTGTTCGTCGAAGAACTGAAAATACAAATGCAATTTGTGAAAAAACTGCCGGTCTACGGAGCGGCAACTTGTCGGATTTGAATTCAGCGTGTTCGAAAATGTTAGTTACCGTGAAAATATTTCAGTTCCACGACATGCTTAATGAAAATCGTTTTCTAGGCATATTTTTAGGTCACGGCAAACGGCCTAAAGTGGTAGGCAAGATATTTATAGTCCTTTTGATTTGTTATTCTTTTGACCCAACACGGAAGTGATAGGAACTTGAGAAAATGACAGTTGCAACTTGCGTGTAATTTGCTCGGAGCAATTTGCAATCAACATTGCAAGATTGATTGCACAATGTTGCAATACTCATGGGAACAGAACATCCTGTTTGACTGTAAGAGTTGTATCAGTCCAAGACTGATATAGAAGAAGATTTTATCAAAATAAAGTCAGGATAAAGTCTATTTATACTACGATTACTAATGATTATTACACTTGAAAACTTTTCGAAAGACGCCATCTTGTTTTAAAGCTGTTCTAGCCTGCGAACAGGTCAAAACAAGGTTACTTTTACTTAACGACTTAACACCTTTACGACTTAACTTAACTTTACTGACAGACGCGATAACAATATATCTGCGCTAGCGCGCAGATACAAAAACTAAAGCAATCAGAGTCACAGGGCTCAAAGTAGAGAAAAAATATGGCCTGCCAGTCCAAATTTTTTGGCAGGTGAAATACATTTTAGCCTGCCATTTTTACATTTCAAATATAAACGTATTCAGTCAACTAAATGATCTAGTATATATGAGTTGTGGTAAGCAAATTAAATGAAATATATCTGTAGAATTTCACCCTCAAGTTTTTTTACTTGGCAGTTCATATTTGTTTTTGCCTGCCATTTCTAAAATATGGCCTGCTTTTGGCCATTGGCAGCCCGTTATTTCGAGCCCTGCAGAGTCATGATCATTTAAAATGTCATTAACAGAGTCATTCAGTGAAGAGCCACTAGGGATAATGACTGGGCACTCTCATCAACAACATTATCATCCTTGTTCTTAGCTACCCACTCCGGGAAGTCGTTTGGCTTAGGTCGAATGGAGGGCTGTCCATCCTCGCGAGGAACAATTCTGATCCTTACCAGTTCTGACAAAGACAAGGTGTGCAGCCTGTCTAACTTTTTCTTTGCCCTTCGTATAGAGATTGACTCTCCCAAGGTAGCCTACGAACGTTGTAACGCATAATCCTTTTTGTTGTTTCGTCGACCTCGCTTTCTTCTGAGGACATGTACGGTAGCCTGCCTTCATAACATCGAACACCCTTGCAGTTTTCTGGGCACCCCAATTTGCCTTTTCCACGTGCTTCAGCCTGCGTGCAAGTCCCTAAAGAAAGATACATAATAATAACAAATAAGCTTGACACTACTACAAGTTCTTAAAAACTTATAGTACAAATGTTAACTATTGAGTTCACACAGTACAATTTTGTATCAAATGTTGATTTGATGATTGGATGACTTTGCCTAAAATGGACCGAAACTTTTCCTTCCACCGCATGCGCGATGTTCATGACTCTGAAAGTTCTTTATATTCTTCTTCATAATCATTTTACCACGATTTCCCTTTTTGTCCCCGGCGACATACAGTAGGTTTATTTTTTGTTTTTTTTTAGGTATTCTGCTTATGCATGCCACAACATTGCTCAGAAAGAAATCCGACTTTGGAAGCCTTACAGATTCATCCACGAGGTTATCGAGGCATTACAAGCAATGAGCATAAAAATGTCATTTACTGCATATATTTAAATTTATACATTGCTCAGGGACACAAAGCAAAAGGTAACTTTCAAATAGAGTGTCACAAATGTCACAAACACCCAAAGACGGATGTTTTAGATTGAGCAACCCCCTTGAAATACAAAGCTAAATTAATGCCTATCAAAATTAAATGCAGTGTTATAAGTTCAAACCTCGTCCTTTATAAAATAATAAAAATTCAATCTTAAAATATTGGTCATACTGTGTAAATTAAAGCTAAAGCTGTTAACGGATCTTCAAAGTCTTTAATCCCTTGCTGTGTGTTAATGTTGGTGGCAAATTTAAACACGCAAAATAATTTGTTCTGGATGTTCACGAGAACTTGTACCAAATCATATGTAAAAACCGCGTAAACATTTTAAAGACCATGATGTTTGTGATGGCCAATGATCAGTCTAGCTACGGGCCTGGCCTGCAAATACAAGTTAACTTGTATGAATGTGGTCATTGTGGTGTTTCATAAATATAATGTTAGTACACAAAGTTAACTTTCATCAAACATATGCTAGATTACTCTCATAAGCATTCAATGCTTTCAGTATACGACGAACATAATCCTATAAAAAATGAGATATATGTTAAACCATTAAGGCACAATCCCTCCTGGTGCACTTACTATGCTATTTTACACTGTACACAGCATTAATAGTGCCTCAAGAAATTTAACACAAAAAGTAAATTGATTTCACACTTCGCAAGCAAGAAAGAGAAGCCAGGGTACCCGAGCTGGTCTGGTTTTGGAGAGACACCACCTTTGGTATTATTTCTTGTCAATTGTCCAATTTAATCTTGCGATAACATGAGAACTGAACTGACCTGCCCAAGCGTAATGGCCTACCTCAACTGTAGTAGGCTGTGGCCAGTGGTTGGATACCCAGACTGGTCTGCCTCCATATATGAAATACAGCACTATGTATACTATAGTACAATAGACACTTAATCCTTGCCTTGTTAATCTAGGCTGTGAAGAGTTTTGTGATATGCACTTTGGAATAATGCACGAAGCAATGTTTTGTCCGCCTGGGGAAGGATGGCATACACAGGAATTGACTTGAGTTCTCGCAACTTGAAATTTCTTAATAGGGGAAAATTTGACAAAGATTGACTAAAAAGTGGTGCTCTGCAGTGGAGCTTATTGGCATACATACATGCAGTAGCAAAATTGAAACTGTCAAATTCCCCTACTGTAGGTATGCCTGTCCTCCCTGAGTCAGGCATAACACAACAGTGCAGATCAGAAATATATTGCGTAAACATAACTTGCAAGTTTTGCCTGCCAAGGGCAAAGACAAGGGTTCTATATTATTTATACAGTAAATGCGGTATATACTGTAGTATTTTTAGTAGTGATTTACATGTAATCAATTATTAAACAGCATCTATGACTGAGTTCAGCAATCTTGAATTAGCCTTTGAATATTTGGCGCAATTATTTTAGGAGCCTAAACTTTCATTAAATCAGAGCGTTCTATACCAAATGACATGCATGTATACACAATTTATCAGATATAAGTACAAATGCTTACCCTGCATAGCTTTGGCACTCGAATAGCTCTGGCTGGACCTGTTTGGCGAATGTGTCTCGCGGTTTTGTTTGGCAAATTGTCCATTTTATCAACCTTATTCTTCATATCTTCGATGGACAACTTCGTCTCGTTTATAGTCGTCTTTAATATTAACTGTTCTCGTAAGAGACTGTTCTCCTGACCGACGTTTTGTAGTATATAAACAGGACATATTGGTCAGATAACGACACAGCCATATTTATATTACAATACGAGACTTGCTGAAGTTTAGCTCAGTATAACTTTGTGAACCTTGAACGATAGTGACGGTTAAACCTCATCATAAAAATCGAAAATTGAGTGGGAAATTAACGAAATATCTTCCGATTGGACGAGTATACGCACAACGGGAATACCATCCTGTTTGTCAAATAACTCAAATTACACGTATACTTTCACGGGGTCTAAACTGGTTTCGACGAGCAACATCTGGCCAAAAATTCGCTTAGTAGAACACTAATATACCATCATCCGTAAAGTTGACGTTACTTGCACAACTGCAGATAGAAATAACAGTTATATTTGGTCAAAATTTGCCATTCCAGTACTGTAAAACATACAGCAAGCGAACAGACAATTGTTTGACCTGCCCGAGGGAGGGAGGGAGGGAAAGTCTTTCCCTCCCTCCCTCCCTCGGGCAGTTTAAGTAATATTTGTGCAGCAATATGAAAACAAAGCACGCGCGCGGGAATTTTCACTTGATCATCAGGAAGCAAGGACGGCAAATCTCAAGAAATAATATGCTTTTTCTCTATTTCGTCTGGTCGTATGAGCTTACGTAAATTCGGTTGAAATGGCGCATTTTAATTTTAACACGACATTCCACACAGCGAGTGGCGCACTTGCTAAAGGTGGGATACTTCACGATCTGGGAGAAATCTCAGTGCCACCAGCGAGACAGAGCGAGCATATATCTACGAAGCTAGGTCGGCTTTCCAGGCCGAACACGATCGAGGAATTCGTCGTAAAAGACGAAAAATAATTAAACGAGAAAGAGCGAGAGAGATATACAGGGATGTTTAAAAGAGAAAAAAGATCTGAGAGGGAAAGAAAAATGCAGGAGAGATTTATTATCGAGCACGAAAATAGGAAGAAAATAGAAGCTAGTCGGACTCATTCGTGTACGTACACATGCAAAGAGGGGAACCTGCCGTTGACTTCTGGCGACTGTGGGACAAAGAGAAAATGTTACGCAGTACGAGCAACATGTGAGTAAAATAGCATCAATTTATACATTCAAAACTAGTCAAAACTGTACTTCTCGTATAATACCATCCGCATATTTTAAAGACAGTGTCCTATAAATACGTGAAGTATCGTAAAGTTCCTGAAACCCGAAGCTATTATACAGGGTGTATCAAAAAAAGCGCAATCCTCGACTGAAATGTAAATTGCTAAACAAATAATACACGAAAACGTTAAAGTTTACATTCATTTTAAAGCGTAGCCATTCAGCTTTCTAACAGTGGGTTGTTTCTTAAATTTGACTCATTGGTTCGCGGCTAATAATACTTTACGTTTTTGCGATTGGAGATTAAAAAAATTGAGATGGAATAATAAATCGTTCTCATGAAAATAACTGATTTTTTCATTAAAATAAAAAAATGTTGCATTTTATTAAATGGATTGTAAGAATAAGTATAATTACGGCTTTTCTTCCACTATTTTTAACTCAGTTTTAAACTTCAAATGCGATATAATTTTGGCTTGGACCATCTAAGCTGACTGACATCAACTTGCTATAATTTCTGTTTACATTACATCGCAATTCGATGACACTCTGGCTCAGACACCAGAATGTTTTGACGATTTTTAGCATTCGTTTAGGATTTTCAAACAACCTGGTCTCTTTTAAAATACTTTTAATTTGTTCTTACGTGGTTTTCCAGATGTAGTGACGACAACATTAAAGTTTAAAGAAGAAAATTCTAACATTTAAACCGACTAAACAATAACATAGTAAACTTGCATAATTAAACAGCAACTAAAAATGATAGGTTTACTAAATCTTTTCCTGTGCAATTATTACTAGCATTGGAGACAAGGATAATAGTTTGTTTGAAAGAGAAAAGAACAGGCTTTGAAGTAAGCCTAAAGCGTTTAACTAGAAATAGTATTTCGAAAGTTATTAAGCACAAAAGATGAATTGCGTTTATTTTGATACACCCTGTATATCATATATTTCGAATTTCCCAATTTAATACCCACACTGAAACAATTTTAAACTGTAATACTACAGATATACTCGATAAATGTATAATGTTCTATACTGAATTCTACAGATCAGCAGACGTAGGTAAACAATAATTGCATGTCTAGTGACTATTGTTTCTTAGCAGGGCATTTTTAAAGAATTTGTCAGTGGAGGGGGGGGGGGGCATCTACAAAAAGGGACCATACTATACCGAGTGTGGAGAAATGATAGATGGTTTGTTGGTAACAAAAAGTTTGGTGTGGTATCGCATTTAATAGTAGGAAGGGGGGGGGGAGGGTCTGGAGGTATTCTCCCCCAGAAAATATTTGTATTTTTCTATCCTTATGACTGCAATTCCCTGAAACATATTTTTGGATATACAGCATTACATTATGCTGCAGATAGACTGAACCTTCAGTTATGTACTTGCATAGTATGTTTATGCTGGGCTCATCCTAAGAAAATTTTAGAACTGCCCATTTCGACAAGAACAGAGGTAGTGAACACAGGCTAACTATGTGGCAGACAAGGTTCATGCATTAATCACTGCGCCAGAAACTACCCTTCAATGAGACATTTTTGCCATGGCGTATTGGATACCTCAATAGCTAGGAGGGTCCTTGGGACAATGATCCCTTGGAAAGTTTTGAATTTTAAAAGTCCAGAATGGTCATTTTATGCATTTTCAGAGTGAAAGCTGGATTTACTTTTGCTTTAAATATCCTGTATAGGTGCTTAATGTATAATTAATTTTCATACAAAGCTCAAAAACTGGATTTTAGAACTGCCCATTTTAGGTTTTAGAATTACCCATTTTACATTTAGAACTACCCATTTTGGAAAGTGGGAGGCCTTAGGATGACCCCTGTGTTTATGTAGATACCACAACTTGGTCACTGAGGGAACCAGCTTGATAAACTTAGAGGGCCGATTGATTTTGGAAAATTTTGAAGACATGCCTCAACCTCGTTCCCAGGCTATTTGCTCTTGGGAAGCAAAAACCCTGGTCGGAGCTGGTCACGTGAACCCCCAGATTTTGGGGGTAAATTGAATTTGATCTCAGGGAGGGGTAGGAGAGTAGTCTGTTTGTTGCGTTTGGAAAATTGCAATTTTATGTGTTATAATTTCGGGTGATAAAAATGTAATTTGCAACAAGAGATTGTGAAAGGAACTGTTCTAAATTCGTACCGATCATGACAAGACTTCCTGCTATACTGAATGTCATCAATAATATAAGTGTTGCGTTACATTTCAAGCGAGAAGCTGGATCATATTTCACTTGCAAGGAAAACACTCCACACGCGCCTGGCCTGCGAAGTTTAGCACGTATCGCCGTAGAAACATACATATCTTCTACACAGACTGATCGATCAAACGGTATTAAACGAACGATATGGTTCTTTATAGTTGAAGTGTATCCTGTCCGATATTCAAAACAAAAGATTTATTTTATAACGGGATCCTCTTTGATTTCCCAAA